GGTCTGCAGCTGAAGGTACACAACAACAACAACAACAACAAATTAATAATTAACTATACCTTACTTGAAAAGTGAGGTGCTAAAAATCTATTTGTGGCTCCAAGAGGCTTAGCCTCTTTATTCGCAATTTTTGGAGGCCTGTTTTAGACCATTTTCAATGGTGAATTCATGCAAACATAGTGGTGTCTGATGCTCCCAGATTTGTCTGATTTTTAACTTGAAAGGAAATATTCAAGGTAAGGAACCTATTTCGGGGATAAGGTTCAGCACTTTGGACAGCTCCTTTCCCCACTGATATGGAAATCTAATAGCATCTATTGCATATAATGTATTATGTTATCTAATGATAAAAATTCCCAGAAAATGTTACCTTTGGTGTCTGCAGTGGTTGTGTAGAATTACACTGGGCTCTTGGGATCCATTGGAATTTGATTAGAGAATTTTAGTCACCCTCCTCTGAACACATTCCAGCTTGTCAACATCTCCCTTCTATTACGGTGCCCAAGATTGGACACTGCATTCCAGGTGTGGTCTGACCAAGGCAGAATAGAGGAGTAGTAGATGGAAGATGGGGAAACTTATAATTTGCTTTTTGGATTTTAAAAAAACATTGTTCAAGTCATGGATGGTAAATCCATGTATTCAAAATCCATGGATGTAGAAGGCCAACTGTATTCACTACATGTTTGATGTTTTATTTTAAAAGTTCACAAAGTTGTATTTATGCATAATTTTCAACCTCTTTCCAGGGTGAATCAAACTGTTGTTTTCACTGTTTTATGGCACTTTTGGGAATCAATAATGTTTTGGCTCTTTTTGGGACTGATGCTTGTGCCTACTTATGGGAGAGTAGAATGATATTATTTTCTTTATTTATCTATCTATGTATCTCTATTTATTGTTGCCCAATAACAATAGTTCTTTGAACTATACAATAAATAACAAGTAAAATATTGAACAGGTATGTGGGGTTTTACCATTTTTCATAAGTCTGATCTAGACTTTACAAGAAATCCCACATTTCTTTGGAGCTGATTACTGCAGAAGCGGGTCAATAGCCGTGGTCAACATGTCTTTCAGGGAAACCTGTCAATCATTCCTATTCTTCTGGTTAATAACCTTAGACATGTTTCCAAGGAAACATAGATTTTCCCTGTATCTCGTTTACAAGACTATTGGACTAGCAGATAACTGTCCCCATTATACCAGAGGTATGTGACCTATATATCTATCTATTTAAGAAGGTTTCACCTTGCCTTTCATTAAAAGCTTTCAGTAGCTCACAATGAATATAACACAATCAGAAAAATAAAAGGACACTAAGTAAAATCAACAATTTTAAAATGTAAAGGAACAAAGCAAATGCATCAGAAAAGCAACCAGGAAATAACTTTTTGTTGCCTTTCAGTCATTTTCAACGTAGGCAACCCTAAGATGGACCTTTTATGGCAAGATTTGTTCAGAGTGCGGTTACCTTTGTCTTCCTCTGATTTGAACCCTAGTCTCCAGAGTCATAGTCCAGTGCCCAAACCACACTGACCCTTGGCCGATGTTTGAAAGAACAAGGAAAAAATAATGTGTTTTTGCTATAATCGCATAAGTTCTGCAATACGGAAAGCCTCCAATTGCCTAAAGACTACTGGAAGATTGTGTTGTCGAAGACTTTCATGGCCAGAATCATTGGGGTGCTGTAAATTTTCTGGGCTGTATAACCATGTCTCAGAAGCATTCTCTCCTAACATTTCACCCACATCTATGGCGGGCATCCTCAGAGGTCATGAAGTCTGTTGGGAACTTGGCAAGTGGGGTTTATATATCTGTGAAATGTCCAGGGTGGGAGAAAGAACTCTTGTCTGTTTGAGGCAAGTGTGACTGTTGTAATTAGCCAACTTTGTTGGGCTATTAGCGGGCCCTGATTGTTTCCTGTCTGGAATCTCCTGCTTTCTGAGGGCCAGCTAGCACCTCTCAACAAAGAATTCCCCCAGGCAGGAAGCAACCAGGCTTTGAAGCTGCAAGGCTAATCAGTGCTAATTGAACTGGCCAACTGCAACATTAGCACCTGCCTAAAACAGACAAGAGTTCTTTCTCCCATCCTGGACATTCTACAGATATATAAACCTCACTTGCCTAGTTTCCAACAGTCTTCACAACCTCTGAGGATGCTTGCCATAGATGTAGTCAAAATGTCAGAAGAGAATGCTTCTGGAACATAACCATACAGCCTGGAAAACTCACAGAAACCTACTGGAAGATTGATATGGCAACTCTAAAAACATTATCTAAGTGATTGGGAACAACTTAATTTGTGAGGGTAGGAGATCAGATATCATTGTATAGAGAGTTAGCTATGTATGGCAGAAGAAAGCTAATCCATGATCTCTAATTGCTCGTGTCTCTTCAAAAATGCTCAAGTTCAGGTCCAATCTACTTCACTTTGCATATCTCTCAAATATGTCTGAATCAGACTAGTTGGACTGTGGATTTCAGATTTCTCCCAGCTTCTAATATCTTAAAAATTGAATCTTTTTTTTTTCACCATCTATAACATTGTAGGATTATGAAATACCCTTTCTCTGTGCACATTTATGTGTATGTCCATTATATTTGGTTTAGAATTTAGTAATCAAAGAATGATGGATGGGGATCATTTCAATTTATTTTACATATCTGTATGTTTGAGTTTTTAATGCATGCATAATTATTACCTGTTCCATATCTGTGGCTTATTATGTAATTTAAATCTGGAATGTTTTATAATTTCATAATCAATGCAACACATTTTATTTGCTTCTGCCTTACTGTTTTTTCAATTTCCTTAGTCAGAATTTGAATTACTTATTGATTTAATGGTGTTAGATTGCTAATTCACTATCTTCCTTTTGGAACAGGTATGTACTTGTAAAGGTTAGATGGTTTTTATTTGGTTACGTGAATGAAATTTACAGGGTTTATTAATTTCTGCATGCCTAGCCGACTGTTCTTTGGCTTAATGTCCACAGAGTCTGGTTTGTCTGATTGACATTTTAGAGGGAAAAAATAGAAACAATCAAGTGAGTTGGTTCTAGAGATACAGCGGAAAAGAGGTAACCTCTGTGATAATTTCAGTGGGTATGAAACTGAGCACAAGCAAAGCATTCAGAACATTTCGTGCTGATTCTAGTCACAGTGATTGCTTTTCGTTTCTGACCTCAGATTTAACATGATTTAAAAATTATTTTAAGATTAAATTTATTGTAAAATTATTCTCGCTTTTTCTCATATCTGAAAAGAAATATTATGTTAAGTCAAATTTTTAATATTAATTTTTGATAAAGTTTTATGAATATTTTCCTTCATATTTGTGAAAAGGGATGGAAAACATCATCTTTAGCATCCCTTAATAATCCTGCTTTCATGGCACCTTACAAAATCAAAATATACAGATACATGTACAGTGTCTGTTTTGCATATTTGTTGTTCATTTGTTCAATCATTTCTGACTCTTTGTGACCTCATGGACCAGCCCACGCCAGAGCTCCCTGTCAGCCGACACCACCCCCAGCTCCTTCAAGGTCAATCCAGTCACTTCAAGGATGCCATCCATTCATCTTGCCCTTGGTCGGCCCCTCTTCCTTTTTCTTTCAATTTCCCCCAGCATCGTTGTCTTCTCTAAGCTTTCCTTTCCTCTCTTGATGTGGCCAAAATGCTTCATCTTTGCCTCTACTATTCTTCCCTCCAGTGAGCAGTCAGGCTTTATTTCCTGAAGTATGGACTGGTTGGATCTTCTTGCAGTCCAATGCACTCCCAGAACTTTCCTCCAACACCACAGTTCAAAAGCATCTATCTTCCTTCGCTCAGCCTTCCCTAAGTTTCAGTTTTGCATATATTTGTTTTTAATCTGGATTCTTTTCAGTTTTGGCAATCTGCTTCAATTTGATTCTTTACTCAGAGGTTAAGATCAGCATATAGGGCACATATGACTTTTTTCTTCTAATAATTCATCACTACTTTCTATTTTCAGGACCAAGTGCCAAAGGCAATTATCTCACTTTTCCTAGATTTCATTGGAGGTTTATATCTTTGACATACAATGAGGAATGGAGAAGGGAATGGAGATGGAGCAAGGGAGCGTGTGAGAAAGACTAGAGGAAGAAAACTGTCTCTGAAGATGCCAGTCACAGATGAGGGAGGGCCTGAAGTGAACATCTGGCCCCCAGGCCTTAGTTTGCCCATACCTGTGCTAGAACATGGCCATACAGCCCAGAAGTCACATAGCACTCCAGTGATTCTGGCCGTAAAAGCTTTTGAAAATACGCAGATCTGTCTCTGCCTAGCGTATTGGGTACCACTTCTTATTACATTCAAGGAAAGGGGAAGTAGAAATATGGAAACAGAGCTCTTTGAATGCTTTTATTTTTCCCTCTCCTCCTTGTGGAACAAAAAAAGGAGTGGTGATAGTGAAGAGGTTTCCTACCAGAATAGTTTGGAAACAAAAGGATGAAGTTCATTGTGCTTTTCGGAATGCACTTGAAAAATTCTTATTCAAACTGTACTAGGCTCTATAATGCAAACTTTTGTGCACCTAAAACATTTCATCCCTGACATATCTGAATTTCTGCTACACTTTGGTGAAAGGAATTAGCATCCACTCAAATTTTTCAAAGCAAAATTGATGAGATTCTTCATGAGTGTCATGCCGTATATACCGATTTCTTGACTATAAAATCTAAAATATTGAGTTACATGACTTGAAAACTTTCAATTATTTACACTTAATTTATACCCACTGAAATAAATGAGATATGAGGTAGTAACTGATCAAAACCATTATCTGTTTAAGTTCAGTATAATTGCCTTCTTACAATCAATTCCCACACTCATTCGTTTGTGTAAAAGTAATGTAAGGATCAAAGAAGGAAATGTTAGAAATGTAAAAAAAAAAAAGAGTTTAAGAGCCCCCCACCCAATATGCCATATTTTAATATCCAATTGTTTCTAATAATGGAAGAATATGTACTTACTTGCCCAGTGCAAAGCACTCCATCTTAATGGTAGATCCCTTAGCGGTTGTAACTGTGTATGGAAAATGGACTTCAATTTTCGGCTCATATTCCCCCATCACACCTGGGAAATAAAGAAGGCTCTTTAAAAATAAAATGGATGTCACTGTTGTCTTCTACATGTAAAACGTTTATTGTCAGAGCCCCTGTGACAAAATAGTTAAACAATTAGTTAGCAATGAGGTTCATTATGGGAGAAAAGGGTTAATGTTTGTATCAAATCCTAAAATAATTTTCCCATACTAGCAAATAAGTGTGTTATCTAGAAAGACCAGACAATGATGTCTCATGGCGCTATATGTGAAGTCAATATGTGCAATGACAGAAATGCAAATTTTCATGAGACATTAACCAAAGTTGTGAGCTAAATTTGTTCTTCATTGAATGGAAGTTGCAAGCGGAAAAGGTAACAAAAGGTTTCTTCAATTCTAAAAATAAAATATCCAATTAAAATATCCAGACCTATGAACTATCATGTATGAAGTAATCAAATTGTGTTTTTTTCTATACGAATAAAATTGACATGGATCACATAACAATTATGAGCACATGCTAAAACCTCACATGATTTCTCTCCCATTTTAAATATCAGATGGAATAAAAGTAGAGTGGTTAAATTTTCTCAAGATAAAGTCATGCATAAGGTCAATATAAAGTCATATAGTTGGCCATGTTTTACAACAGTTCTCACCATGGGTTACTGGGCGCTGTTTTTGAGCTTAAATTATTGTTTAATATGCTATTGGTTTTATCTTGTATTGCATTGTGTGTTTATTTTATGTGTCATTTTAGGCCCATTGTGCCATATGTAACCCACCCCAAGTCCCTTTGGGGAGATGGAGGCGGTGTATTATTATAGGAATAATAATAATAAAATTATTATTATTCCTATTATTATTATTATTAGGCAGATGGAAGATAGGTTCTGGGTAATTGAAGTATTTTTCCTAGCAAAATGTATTCACATTCTGTGGAGTTGTCTACTATGAATGATAACTGTTCACACATAGATAAAAGGTCAGAGTTACGACCTTTTGTAAAGGCACTCAAGACTTGGCTGTTTGGTTGTGCATTTAAGTAATCAGATATAATTTGCCAAATAGTCACTGTTGAATGTTTTTTATGTTGAATGTTTTTATATTGTGTAAATGCTATTTTAGATTGTAAGTCGCTCGGAGCACCTTGGTGGAGAGCGACTAATTAAGAAATAAAGTGAAGTGAAGGTATGTATCATTTTGACTTCAGTTTTGTACACTTGAGAAGAATTGGCTGACTCTATGTCCCAATGCATTACAATTATTTCTGGCACAGAAACAATCTTGTGCAAAGTTTAAACATGAGGTTTGCACAGAAAGTAACAATTTCTACGGGAGAAGATAGCATTTTATGCAGAAACAGTAATATTTCTGTGCAAAAATATTATCTTTTGCACAGAAAATGCTGCTTTTCTGCAAAGTAATCATATGTTAATTTTGCACAGAATTAGCCTCAAATTCCAAATAGTCTTTGAAAACTGCCGTTTTCAGGAGGAATTGCTGAAATTATTCATTTCTTCCTTTGAGAAGGAGCTTAACAAAGAATTACATCCCCAATGTGAACTACTGTCAACATTGAATTCAGGTGGTGGGTCATTCACAGCTATGAGCCTTCACTGTTTCATAAGCCCCTAGTATTTTTTTTTTATTTCTAGTGTTTATATCTTGCATCTTCAAAGACACTGGATAGTAATGAACATGTACATGAACAAGGTTACCTCTTTTCAAGCTGTTCTCGTAGTGCTGTGATCCTATATTTATAAAGGATTCCTGATGATTTTTCTCAGTATATAACCGCAGTGCTCAAACTGAGAGAGAAGAGATAGGAGTGCTTCTAATAGAATTCTCAAGTTCATTCACTGAACGCTACTACATTTAGCTGAATTATTACCCCTGTAGCTTTCAAAATATTATCTAAGGAGTCTTATCCTGTAATTCAAGCACTGAATGGCAACCACATTTTCAATCAGCCTGTGGTCACATAGAAGTATCCCAGGAGGATGTTTCGGGCACAAGTACAAACCAATTTTTGGAAGCAGTAGAACTCAGTGGAGGAGGCGATGGAGCTGGATGAACTTAAATTACAGTCAGGGATGTATCAGAAATATAACTGTCAAGGAAGCATTTTGAAGCTAAAAATCAGAAATATGTGTAGGATTCAAGAATGAGAAGGAAACTAGTACAGGGATTTCAAGGAGAGACATCATGTGGTCGGGTCTGAAAGAGGTGAATGATTTTGGCAGCATGTATTCATTTTCATTCAGTAAATCTAGTTCAAGATTCATCTGCATCAATGATCTGTGAAGGAAGACTGAAGTTAACAGCTGTCTTTCTAAATACTCAAAGGATGATTGATGTCCTCCTCTACCATTTTGGAAAAAAAATCGGAACAATTGTTACAATCCAGCAAAAGAGGTAAACACACGTACCTCCAGTAGCAGAGATGCAGAACTATGCCTACATAAACATCCCTATGCTCATATGGAAAATGACTGGGGAGTATTTTGTAAATTTTCACAGGGGAATGTTTGAATAAAATTTATGCTACCTGCTGTAATTTCTACAGGCAGGTTTAAAAAAGAATTCATGCTTCAAAATTAATGTGTGCATGTGTTTGTGTGTGCTGGGTGGGAGACCACCGAAGCATGCAGAACTTTAGAGAAAATCACAGTCTTCCCCATACCTATACATTTTGGGACATGAAGGGAGTTTTGCCTCTTGAAATTAGTGGAAATGTAGAACTGTCTACATTTATATGGAGTTCTTTTGAGATAAATAATTGCAATATGTGTGTGTGTGTGTGTGTGTCTACTATAGAGGGGGCTAGTCAATCCATTCACAACCCAATATCTTAGCATAATCAGCAAATAATTCCCAAAATATACAAATATGCATGTGTGGAGGTGTGGAAACTAGACTGTGACCACCCAGAATGGGTGAGGCATTCCTGGTAGCTTGCAATGCTGCAGAGGATAACTTAACAATGAGAAGGCAGCATGAGCAATAGAGCAGAAACAAACAATAGGAAAGAAAGAGTGGGGCAGGCAATATCTTACTGGATAATACACCACAAAGAGACATTATTTTCATTACAGGAGAATGGAATGCTAAGGTGGGTAGTCAAATGACAACTGAGATACAGGCAAGCATGGTCTGGGACAACAAAATGAAGTGGGACATTGGCTGATAGAATTTTGCCAGAAAACTCACTGTGTATAACAAACTCTCTTGCAACAATCAAAAAGATGGCTTTATACATAGACTTCACCAGATAAGGTAAAGGTAAAGGTAGTCCCCTGACATTAAGTCCAATCATGTCTGACTCTGGGGTGTGGTGCTCATCTCCATTTCTAAGCCGAAGAGCCAGCGTTGTCCGTAGACACCTCCAAGGTCATGTGAATGGCACGACTGCTTGGAAGCGCCGTTACTTTCCTGCCAGCGTGGTACCTATTGATCTACTCACATTTGCATGTTTTTGAACTGCTAGGTTGGCAGAAGCTGGGGCTAACAGTGGGAGCTCACCCCACTCCCTAGATCTAGGGCTGACAGCGGAAGCTCACGCCGCTCCCCGGAATCGAATCTGCGACCTTTCGATCAACAAGCTCAGCAGCTCAGTGCTTTAACCCACTGCGCCACCGGGGGCTCTCTTCACCAGATAGTCAACACCAAAATCAGATTGACATTCTTTGCAGCCAAAGGTAGTGGACATCCATCCAGTTGGTGAAAACAAGACCTGGAGCTGACTGTAGTTCAGATCACAAACTTCTTATTGCACAATTTAGAATCAGACTAAAGAGATCAGGGAAAACGCACAGACCAGTTAGACATGATCTCACTAATATTCCTAGTGAATAGGCAGTGGAGGTGAAGAATAAATTTAAGGAACTAGATTTAATAAATAGAGTCCCAGAAGAACTATGGACAGAAGTCCGCAACATTGTTCAGGAGGTGGCAAGAAAATACGTCCCAAAGAAAAAGAAACCCAAGAAGGCAAGATGGTTGTCAGCTGAGATACTGGAAGCAGCCCAAGAAAGAAGGAAAGCAAAAGGAAACAGTGATAGGGGGAGATATACCCAATTAAATGCACAATTCCAGAGGTTAGCTGGAAGAAACAAAGAACTATTTTAAAACAAACAATGCATGGAAGTGGAAGAAGACAACAGAATAGAAAGGACAAGAGACCTCTTCCAGAAAATTAGAAACATTGGAGGTAAATTTCAGGCAAAAATGGGCATAATCAAAAATAAAGATGGCAAGAAACTAACAGAAGCTGAAGAGATCAAGAGAAGGTGGCGACCCTATACAGAAGATCTGTATAGGAAGGATAACAGTATTTAGGATTGTTGTAGTTTTTTCGGGCTATATGGCCGTGTTCTAGAGGCATTCCCTCCTGACGTTTCGCCTGCATCTATGGAAAGCATCCTCAGAGGTAGTGAGGTCTGTTGGAACTAGGAAAATTGGGTTTATTTATCTGTGGAATGTCCAGGGTGGGACAAAGAACTCTTGTCTGTTGGAGCTAGGTGTGAATATTTCAACTGACCACCTTAATTAGCATTTGATGGCCTGGCAGTTTTTTGGTGTGGGTTGTTAGTGTCTGGGAGAATCTTTTGTTGAGAGGCAATTAGCTGTCCCTGATTGTTTCCTCTCTCTTGTTTTGCTATTGTAATTTTAGAGGTTTTTTTTATACTGGTAGCCAGATTTTGTTCATTTTCATTGTTTCCTCCTTTCTGTTGAAATTGTCCACATGCTTATGGATTTCAATGGCTTCTCTGTGTAGTATGACATGGTGGTTGTGAGAGTGGTCCAACATTTCTGTGTTCACAAATAATATGCTGTGTCCAGATTGGTTCATCAGGCGCTCTGCTATGGTTGACTTCTCTGGTTGAAGTAGTCTGCAGTGCCTTTCATGTCCCTTGATTCGTGTTTGGGCAATGCTGCGTTTGGTGGTCCCTATGTAGACTTATCCACAGCTGCATGGTATACGGTAGACTCAAGTGAGAGGATCCCTCTTGTCCTTTGCTGAACCTAG